TGGGATGGCATTTCGTTCAACAACGCTTCCGAATTGTCGGCATCAAGCTTTCGTGGCGTTTCAGAGCGCGGACGTTTATTCACGTGAAAATCGCCATCTTTAGAGTGACGACAGCAATACTTGCACGTATTGTGAGACGCAATATCTTTTCCAATGGGATTCACATGCTTTGGCAGTATTTCTTCCTTGCTGGAAGTTATATCGAACGTAATGTCGAATATAAAGTTTTACCTCGCTCGTTGTATCGACTTTTATTTTTCAGGTTATGTGTACCAATGATTATAATGAACGGCGTCTTAAAAAGTTCGATATCAACCTTACGAAGACACAAAACGGCGGGAAAATATTTCAATTTAAAATAATTACATTAGAAGGCTGGAAAAAGACCAAAACTTTTGCATAATGTAAGGAAAGATTGCTAACATATTTTTTTACTCAGGGACACCTTTTTATGTCTAAGCACCGGTTGTTCCAACTTCTTGGTAAGTTAACTGATACCCAGATAGCACACGGATGTCCATTGGACGTCCGTTATATATCCATTTTTTTTACAAAAAACGTCCATAGGACGTACGTTTGTCACAACTTCGGACATAGGACGTCCGATGGACGTACATCGGACGTCCTATAGGTCCAATGTCCAATAAGGACATCCTTGTTACGTCCAATTTATGCCCACGGATGTAAATCGGACATACGGACATAAATTGGACGTGAAACGTACATCCACTGGATGTCCGGTGCTGTCTGGGTAGTTAAATTATATGTCTTTGTCTGAGTTAAAGGAAAAACAAAGACAAACAGATGATTTAACTATCAGTTAACTTACCAAGAAGTTGGAACAACCGACCTTTAATCTTGTGTTAAACCCAGCTTGCATTTAAACTACCCGTAGCGGTCTAGTTTAGTCTAGCTCATGCAGTGGCCTTGAAACTGCCGCTTGGTCAGTTATAAGTTCTGGAAGTTCTACTTGCGTTTGGAACGGCTTTTCATTCAACTAACGCTTCCAAATTGTCGGCGTCAAGCTTTCATGGCGTTTCAGAGCGCGGACGATCACTCACGTGAAAATGATCACCATCTTTAGAGCGACGACAGCAATATGTGCACGTAATGTGGGACATAATATTTTCCTCAAAAATAGAGCAAAAGGATTCGCACGCTTTAACAGCATTTCTTCCTTGCTGAAATTCATATTGAACGCAATGTCGAATGTAAGGTTTTGCCTCGCTCATTGCATCAACCGTTATTTTTAAGGTTATGTGTACCAATGGAGTGGCGTTTTACAAAGTTCGATACCAACCTTACGAAAACACAAAATGGCGGGAAAATATTTCAATTTAAAATAATTACAGTAGAGGGCTGAGAAAAGACCGAAACTTTTGTATAATGAAAGAAAAGATTACCGACATATTGTTGTACTCAGAGACACCTTTTTGTGTCTTAATCTTGCATTAAACCCAGCTTGCATTTAAACTACCCGTAGTAGTCTAGTTTAGTCTAGCGTACGTACACATCCTGATCTATTAATATATCATCAAGAATCGCCTTCTAACATTCTTGTTTGGCCTTATCCGCGTTCGTGTCCGTACGTCATTTCTCGATAATGTTCTCTTTTTTTAACGAATCCATCGGGAAACTGTTCCTCCTCTATGATCCCATTAGCCTTCCTACTTTGCTTCATTTTGTTTGATGCGTCCATTGAAAATAATATTTCACTATCACAAATTTAAAAAAAATCTCAAAATGTTGGTACGAACCTCAAAGCCTTAACAATTCCCGAGTGATTGCGGCGTTTTACCAGCTACGAAGAATCTGAAGATAAATTTAAGATAAACATAAGATCCCACCATGAATATCGCCCGAAGGATCTAATTTCCTTAGTCCGAATTACCAATTTAAACTACTTTGGAACAATGTCTCCGAATAACGCAGCCTTAGTTCATCAGCGTTAGCCCACGAAGAGGCTGGACTATCGAGGGACCAACTAAGCCAGGATTAAAGAGCCACTATTACGGTTGTCCCTGAACAGGACAACCTTCGTGTCGTCATTTCGATTGTTCCGATTCCTTCGATCATTCCAACCACGTGAATATTCGCTCGTGATTGGAAGGGGAAGGAAGGGTAATACCGATGCAACGACGCACCTCGCGGGCTTGCAACCCGAAAGCAGCAACATTCGCCTCGCCGAGCGGCGTCCGGTGAGTCAGCGCAGCCTGCGCGTGCGTAAATTTTCATCAAAGTCTGCGACTTCGCGGAACATCCCAAACAGGATCGCAGGCTGGACGCGCGTCTGCATTGAAACGGCCTCAAGCCCGAGTGGACGAATTCATGCAAATGCATTCCTAACCGATGATAGAATCCTCCCCCCTCCCCCGGGTAATTTGGGAAAAGACTAAAAAATGGCGTCACGTCTCTGACCTTTTCGTCGAGGCAAGACAGCAAGACGCTTCCACACACCCTCGCGCAGCGTCGTGTTGTCTCTTGTTTTCCAAATCGAAGCGGAATCGCCCGGCCGCGGCGCGGGCGGCCTGTTTGCGCGTTTCGGCAAGTGTTCTCATGACAATCACGTCCCTGCGGTACGAGAGGGAGAACGCAGAAGAGGGAAGACCCGGAGGGCCCCGCGAGCAGCCGAGGCACGGTGAGACCGGAAAATCGACAGCTGTGAATTGCGCCGCAAAGAGGAAGGAAGAATGGCGAACGGTGAGTAAGGCTTCGCCGTTGTTTACTCATTGATGAAACACTGGGCGGCGATCGCCGACACCAAAGAGACCAACGCTTACTCATTCGTTCGATGTACTCCCCTCCCTCCCCCCCCCCGCCCCGGCGCAACGATCGTTTGTATTCAAATCTCGCGAGCAATTCGGCTGATACACATGGAAATCCTCTGTCGATGCGTTCGGAAGGGACCACTTGGCGTAACTTTCCGCAGACCGCGCGCTGCCGTTTCTTCTTTATGGACGTTCGGAAGACGGCGGCGCTCCGGCGACTATTCCCGCGAACACGAGCGCGCCGCGAGCGGGCAAGTGAAATCTATCTCGTTACGACGCGAAGCGGCCGGACACGCGGAAGGTCTTGAGCAACAAGACTGACGTGAACGAGCAAATTAAGCCATCACAGTTGAATATTTTTCGGCCGCGAGTGGAAGCAGCGATTCTGATCAGTTGGTTTCTCCAGAGAAAGAGAGAGAGAGAGAGAGAGAGAGACTGGGGAGAGAGAAGAATTTTGAGCCACGCAGGAAGAGCTGAAATAAAATTTATAAAAATAAAATTTAAATTAAATTATTAATTTTATTATTAATTATAATTTAGTTAACAAATGAATTAAAACACACAAAATTAAAATTAAAATGAATCATTAACTTTATTGTTAATTGTAATTTAATAAACAAATTAAATTGAACTGTAAAATTCAAATTAAATTGAATCATTAATTTTATTATCAATTGCATTTAACTTAACAAATTGGACTGAAATTTAAAATTTTAATTGAACTGAATTATTAGTTTTATTAGTAATTGCAATGTAATTAAAGTAAATTAAATTGAAATTGGAAATTCAAATTAAGTTGAATTATTAATTTTATTGTTAATTACAATTTACCCAATAAATTAAATTTAAATTTAAATTGAATTGAATTGAATTGTTAGTTTTATTATTAATCTGCAATTTAATTAATAATTTAAATTAAAATGAAAGATTTAAATTAAACTGAATTATTAATTTTATTTGTTAATTGCAATTTACTCAACAAATTAACAAATTAAATTTAAATTAAATTGAATTATCAGTTGTTATCATTAACTGCGACTTAATTAGTAATTTAAATTAAAATTGAAAATTTAAATTGAATTAAATTATTGACTTTACTACTGATTACGATTTAGTTAATAAATTAAACTGAAATATAAAATTTTGAGTAGGATGCGAGTAGCGAGAGCAAATCAAGCAACAATAGTTGAGGCAGAGCTGACGTCTCATCTGCGATTGAATCGCCTACTGCTTACGTTTTTGTATGCGCCATCCGCTTGAAGAATCGCGCAAATCCCTCTCATCTACATTCGCGAGTTAAGCCGACGGGAGTTCTTTGGGCCGGAAAACGACCTAAAATGCATGACTCATAGCGTCAACCGGTGTGTTCTTGACTTTCTATCGGTCCGGACGCAGCAGCTTGAGCGTTTGAAAGCGCGAGTGGCGAGTGTCCGTTTCGTTTCCTCAGGTCTCCGGCCTGAGTCGCGCAGGTCTGATCGCACGATCGGCAATCCAATGTCGCGATCATATGCCGGGGACCCAGATGGGACCACCTGTGAGAGGCAGACGCGACGCGGCCTCGTCCCGAGGGAACAATCGCGGCAACGCGATCATTTGCAATGCAAAGGCCACATGCGAGACGCGCCGACGCTGTATAGTCAATCGCCGAGGGATGATCTTTCGAGGGCAAGAGAGGGGGAGAGAGAGAGAGAGAGAGACGGGCCTGAAAGACACGCCGCGGGGAAATGACGGAATTCCGAAGAAAAACCAGACAAGGAGACATGATTATGCAACAATGAGTCGGAAATTAACGCAACTAGCGCGGAAACTAGAGCTTCGTTCCCGGCAAATTGTCACCAAGCCGCAGGATAGCCGAGAGAGAGAGAGAGAGAGAGAGAGAGAGAAAGGACTATCGTCCTTCCGGACCACCTCCCGAGAAGAACTTCCTCCAGCTCAAGAGCGATCACAGAGCTAGGAGCTTCCATCGACGAGGAGAAAAGCGCTTGCAGGAGGATGCTCGAGGCAAGGGGGGGGGGAGGAGGAGTCGAAAAGGATAATACGAAATTCGCGTTACCCGCCGGCGAGCGCGTATCCTTTGCACCCGACCTGACTAAGTGTCGAGGTGCTCAAGCACGCACATAGCCTCGCGGCGGCAGGCATGTGCGTGCACGTGTAGGAGCGGCTCTCGCGATTGGCGACCGTGGCGATCGCGAATCATGGTGGGGGGCCTCAATAAAAGACAGAGCGGCCTGATTGTGATTCAGAGTGGCGGTGGCTCCGATAGCAGCTCCGTGTACCCGCGCGCTTCTCTCTCTCTCTCGTCGGCCGCGGCCCGCCGCAGTGTGCTGATCCATCCTCTTTACTATCGACCTCACTCTCTCCCCCGGTACTCCCACCTCCCGACTCGGCCCCGCGCTTCTCGATCGTTTCATCGAACTCTCCGTACTAGCGCGGGCTAGCGAGTCGCGCGCGCGTGCGTGCACGCGAGCTACGTCGAGCTGGAAATCGAACGAGGTGCGTGCCACACACGTATACGTGCACAGGTCGCGAGGAGTCACGCGCGAAGCAACAGCGAGAGAGAGAGAGAGAGAGAGAGAGAGCCTAGCCGCGACGACGGCGAGCACCGAGCAGCGAGGAAAACACCACGAGATCGATAGTGTCGTGGCAACGACGTTTTAAACCACCCTGCCAGCCGCTGCCTCGCCAGAGCACCGCCGGCCAAGGGAGAGAGAGAGAGAGAGAGAGAGAGAGAGAGAGAGAGAGAGAGAGAGAGAGAGAGAGAGAGAGAGAGAGAGAGAGAGAGAGAGAGGGACAACTGCTGTGTGCATCGGGAGATCGCCATCCCCTCGGCGAACTGGTCCCGCCAAGGACGCGAGCGACGCACGACGGGGGTAGCTCGACGGGGCAAGGCGAGGAGGACAACCCCGAGGAGACGGGGACCGATCTTCAAGAAACGATAGTCTCGCGCGCGCGGTCACTCGGTCAGCCCGGCATGGATCACCTGGTGTGACGTCGCCTGGTCGAGCCGTGAGCCTTCAGACCCACTGTGTCTTCCACGGGGAGGAGGGTGAAGCACGTGCGCGCAGCGAGTGCTCGTCGGGACGTGCGTGGGACGGCCATCGCGGGGGAGCCGAGTCGAGCAGCGCGACGAGAGAGACGAGAGCGCGAGGAGGCGAGCCAAGCGGAAGCATGACCAGGTGGAGCGGACCCGTCGGCGCCAGCCTGATGGCGACGGCGCTCTTGGCCCTGTGCGCGAACACGGAAGCGGCGCCGACTTCCTTCAGCATCAGCGACAACGCCGCCGCGGTAAGTGACTTTGCCTGTTCTCTCTCTCTCTCTCTCTCTCTCTCTCTCTCTCTCTTTCTCTCTGTTTCTCTTTCTCGCGGCCGCGAGACGCTCCGTCGTCGTCACCTGAGCGCCTTCGCCACTCCGGCAGGTAGCAACAAGTCCTCCCGGTGCGCAGCTTGACGGCTGCAGCGCCGACAAGGACGGGGAAGCGATGTAATCCTCGCGGTGTGTCACGCGTGAGTAATGCGGGTTAAAACGCTTACGTGCGCCTTCGATTCGCGCGCGCGCGCGCGCGGGCGCGAATGTCGCGTTCCGAAGAAGACATTTATCTCGGAATCTACTGTGATACGGATAGCCCGGTCGGGTTATCTCCGCGGCTTCGGAGCCCGCGGAGTCGTCGACTCGCTCAGGAGAAGCGGCTCTCGCCGTCGTGAATTCTCGAATCCGCTTCTCTCTCTCTCTCTCTCTCTCTCTCTCTCTCTCTCGCGGCGACTCGACGCGTACGGCGTTCGACTTGTCGCGCGATAACAAAGTAATCTGTTTAGGTAAACGCGCTCGTCGCCTCGCCTTCTTATCTGCGGCTCTCTCGCGCGACTCGGAATCGGGAGCATCGCGGTTATCTGCTTCGTTTATCGGCCGCGAATTTCCTAGCGATTCGCTTGATAGCGGCTGCGTCGACTCGACCGTCGCAACGGCAGAATACCAGCTCGGTCTTTCAATTGCTCGGACCAATGTCCAGATCCAAACGTTACTTGCACGCACACACACACATATTATACACACACACATATGCACGCACGCACGCACGCACAATGTGTACCTCGTTTGTGCCGCCGCCGTACACGTCAACGCACGTGACAGTTTATACGCTGGCCATAAAAAAACAGGTCGTTTACAATGTCACGAGCGATAATTACCGTGCGCGCTCATTTCAGGGCAGAATATATCGCTCGACATGTCCGTGGAAATTGTGCAAATTGCAGAGTCTCGAGCACGTTGGCGGCGCGAGTGCTTTGTGTCGCCTACGCGGAAGTTGTCGAGAAAGCCGACCGTTTGATCTGTGCTGAATCTGATCGGGGGCGAATTTCCGCGATGCGTCTTGCGATTGCCATCTCGCCTCCGCCCTCGGGGGTGTCTTCACCCCCATCAGCTTTCTTTTCTTCAGACGAGATCCTCCCGTCTCACGACGGATCGTTGACAGATCCGCAGATCAGTTGGCACGTTTTAAGCTTTTCTTGTTCCGAATAAAGATGTGCGAACTATTCGAATTCGAATCCGAATAATACGAATAGGAATGAAATACATTATCGTTCGCGTGCATCAGCTACAAAACGGGCCATCTGCCTGGCCTGTGTATGTTTGAACCCTTAACTTGTAATGAACTTAACTTATAATTAATAACTTAATTATAAATTTAACTTTAAATATTTAAATATATATTTTGCTTTGAGATGATATTACAACATCAGTATTCCCTTTCATCATAAAAATCTTCCATTATTATTTGCATGTTTAATAGTCATGTTAAATGTTTTAATGATTCGATTCGATTCGATTCGACATAAAAATTCCGGATTCGCACATCTCTAGTTCCGAACAAAAGTTTAGACGTGTCTTGGACATTCGATAATTTTAAACACACGTTTCTTTAAAAACGTGGTTTTTTTAGCTGTTTAATATAAATCCTGGACGTAAAATTGTTGGTAGTATGAATTGATCTTTTCACGAATATCCATCTTTTTATATTTTTGCACATTACAATATTACGTGCAGATGTATACATTACTGCACGATTGTTAAGAAAATAATTTACATCTTATGTATGTACAGGGTGTCCGGGATCTTTCGGAAAGGAAAAATTGTGAGGATTAATCAGATGAAAAGAAAAGTCATTTTGCGAAAATCGCAATAGTTATGATTGAAAATGACCACATCCAGAAGGTCTTTTAATTGATAACTTGAAAATTTGCGTACTTATTTGCAAAATAAGGTAAAGGACTTTTTGTTCAGGTTGACCTAATCTACAATTATATGACGACTATTGTGTTTAGCGACAGGTTCAAAATTCAGGATTCAAAATTCAATATATTCATATCTATTGCTTGCATCTATTGCTATTCTAGATGTGGTCATTTTCAATCACTGATAACTTAATAACTATCGCGATTGTTGCAAAATAATTTTTCTTCTCCGTTTCATCTGATTAATTTTCACAATTTTTTATTTTCAAAAGATGCCGGACACCCTGTATATATATATATATATATTTTTTTTTTTCATAGTTTATTGAAATAAAATAATAGAAGAAGAGGTTTCTTGTTAAATTACCGACTGCACTTCAACTGCAAACCTCATCGACAAACAAGTACTCAAACTGTACTAAAGATAAAAAGTGTATATACCTGTATTCAAAATATATTTAAAAATATTTTTTATGTTTTAAGCATCTTTTTATCTTTTTTGCATTTGCTTAAAACATTTGCACAAAAGAAATAGTTAAAACATAAAAAACAGATAAGAAACACGATGTTTTATGTTTTTTTTCTTGATCTTGAACATGTTTGTTACCAGCATATTACCAACATGTTTGTTATCGGTGATGGGTGACGTCAGTCTGACCTTCTCCAGTCGATTATTCTGTGCTGGATTTTTTTTACAAAGAACCGATTTTCGGTCCGTACTCATCAATACCGTTTGGTTGAGCGAAGAATTCGACTGGACTCAACGTTTGAGAGAATCAGCTTGTCGACAGAGTCGCACGAGAATCGATTCAAACTGTACCAAAGATAAAAAGCACATATACATGTGTTTAAAATATGTTTAAAAATGTTTTTTATGTTTTAAGCATATTTCTTTTGCACTTGTTTAAAAATCCCAGAAACGCATTGAGATCGCCATCGGATCTATTCTGCAACTTCGGAGACGAGAGTGTGTCGTTATCGTTGCATCGTCAGCGCGTCGACACGAGGCAGTCAAAACGTGCAACGGCAACTTAATCTTTTGTTGCACGTTTTCTTCTAATGAATATAATTTTGTGTAACTTGTTACTCGGGGACTTTTAGGACTTTTTGGATACAAATCCGATGTGGAAAAGACGAAATTCAAAATGGCAGATCCAATGTGGCGGACGAAATTTTCAAAATCAGCCGAATTCCCTCGAAATATGTTATTTAAGCGTTTTCGAGATTGTTAATTACAAATTCGTTATCTAAAAGGGCCAGTTAAAGATCTTCGATCAATTATAGAATATCTACGGTATAAAAAAACCCAATCAATAGCCATTTAAAAATTGAATTGTGTCATTTCTATAATTATGTCCGCCATATGAGATCCGTCATTTTGAATTTTGTATTTTTCACACCAGATTTGTATATCCAGCGACTTCAAAAACCCCCGAATAACAAGTTTCGAGTAGATTCGACTGATTTTGACAATTCCATCCGCCATATTAGGTTCGCCATTTTGAATTTTATATTTTTCACACCGGACTTGTATTCGGCGACCCCAAAAATCGCCAGATAATGATTTTAACGTATATACGTTAATACTTAAAAGTTCACGTAAACGCATTTACTCTCTAAAAACGACAGTTTTGTTCAGTATATGCTTATTAATAACAAATCACTTATCTGAAATGACTCTAAAAGTCGATGTATTAGAGGAACATTTTAGCAGTCCAACAATGCCAAAATGCCTAAAGAAATGTGAAAAATTTAAATTATTGGAAAAACAAGCTTGGATGATAGGCGGCACTTTGGGAGGACCGCTATGCGGCAAAGGGTTAAAGTTACAGAGTAGACCTCCCCGACGACAAAAACTTCCGACAACCAGCCGAGAAATATCGCGAGGAGGGTCGTCTCCAAAATGTCACGCCGCCGCACAGTGGGGGCAGATGATATTTTTTGGTTCAAAATTCTCTAGAGACCTGAATTCCCAACCCGGTCATCGACACCAATGGATGAGGTTGATCCTGAATAAATTCCAAAGAGATCCGTCTAGCCGAAATTTTGAAAAAATTATCGGTTCAGGGCTCATGGGTTTAGGGTTTGTCTTAAAAGTTTATCGTTTATAAAGTACAGTGTCTTGGGTTCGACCTCAATGGGTTCGAGCCTGTGGATACTAAATGCGAGACCCCAGAACTTATAATCACTTTTTAGAGAACTTAGAATTTCAAAGCTCATCATTTCAGCCCACATTAAGAAAGAATTAAGCCATATGGAGCCAATGAGTAAAAACATGGAGAACCCGAGATTTGGCATTCAGCATTTCTAGGCTCGAATTCAATGTTTTATAGCTGAATATTCAACGTCGAGGTATTATTAAATTCTCGAGCTATGGATTCTTGGACTATTTGGGGCTCTTAATATATACGGCTTCATGCATCCACGAGCTAGAAAGTTCTCGGATTGATAGATTCCTAGGTTGATGGGCTTAAGACTCAAAATCCTTCGGTTCTGTGCTTAACTGGTCTATATTTCATGTTTTTGTACTTTGGGCATATGAGTTTCGGGTTAATGGTTAATTTCTGCTTCAAGATCGATAAATCTCGAGGTGTCTGTTGATTGGCTTCATAGTTTCGATCCGCTAAATCTCGCGTTTAACGATAACTTTTCCTCTCTTGGGGCTCGTAATTCGAGAAAAAAATTCTTTTTTTAATTTTGGCAAGACAGATCTCTTGGGAATTTATTCAGGATCAACCTCATCCATTGGTGTCGATGATCGCTTGGAAATTCAGGTCTCTCTGGAGAATTTTCAACCAAAGAATATCATCTGGCCCCACTGTGCGCCGCCGCCGAGGCGCGAATCGTGAAAGATCCACACCGGCCGTTGGCGCAAGAGAAGAAGTTGCCTGAAGAGAAACGCCCTGGGACGCGAGCTCGTCCAAAGTCTCGCGAGAGCAACGACGGTAATAACTGTCGACGCAGATTGTCGACGAGGAGCGTCTCTCCGCGAGAGCTGAGGTCCTCCAGCAGCGAGCCTGCCGCTGCTCCAGTAGCGCTCGGCAAGCCGCCAAGTCA